ATATGGGACCTGTTCCAAATCTCTGATCATTTTAGCTGCCCTCCCCTCTCCCACCCTCTCTCTTCCCCTCTCCCACCTCCTTTTCCCAGTCTCCCCGAGTTTTGTTCAATAAAGAGAGCTTCTATTTTTGACCACACGTTTTCTTTATTTTGTACATCAGGAAGGGGGGCTAGGGAAGGGTAAGTGGAAGGAGGTGAGGGAGGAATGGGGTACGAGGCCCTGATGGGGAGGACTGGGCTGGCTCTGCGGGCTTCTGGGGGTGGAAGCCTCTCCCACCTCCTTTTCCCAGTCTCCCCGAGTTTTGTTCAATAAAGAGAGCTTCTATTTTTGACCACACGTTTTCTTTATTTTGTACATCAGGAAGGGGGGCTAGGGAAGGGTAAGTGGAAGGAGGTGAGGGAGGAATGGGGTACGAGGCCCTGATGGGGAGGACTGGGCTGGCTCTGCGGGCTTCTGGGGGTGGAAGCTCTCCTGCAGCCCCCCAATTGCTCCCTCTCCCCAGATGGCAGCCTGCGGCAAGTGCAGCCGGGCTGATGGCCAAGTGCTGTGATGTGCCCAGTGTGGGCACTCAGCGCACTCCAAGCCAGGACTGCTTTGCAAGCGGGGCACCCCTGAGAACTGTCTGTCCGGGGTGGGGGTCGGGTCCCTTTAAGCACAGCCCCCGGCTAGCCTTGGACAGCAGCTCCACGCTCTAAGTCCTCATCTGATGCCCTGCCGGCACTGCTTCCGGCCATCCTTAACTCCGGTTCAGGGTCCACTTAATGTGGACATGCTAGTTCGAATTAGCAAAACACTAATTCAAACTAGTTTTTTAGTCTGGATCCGTTAGTTCGAATTAGCTTAGTTCGAATTAACTATTTCTTTGAGTTGCACCATTTATGCCGAAGACACTATTCCACTGTGCTCTGGTTCCTCCTCATAGTCAGCCTCAGACTCCATGAAAAGGGGAAGCCAGAGGAAGATGCGATGTTCTGCGTCCTGGAATTTTTTTACTAGACATTAGACGAGACAGAAAATCTTCTCCAGATCAAAGTAGCAGCACTGACCTACAGCATTTTTTCAATCGATTACAGACCCATAGTGCTGAGCTGTATCCCCATCTTCCTTTTTGTTTTTCTTCCAACTGCCCATTTCCATGGCATACAGGGAAGGCTTGTTTCAATAAGCTATGAACAATACCTCAATAACTGAGAGGTTGCCCAGGGCACAGCTCAAAAACAAAAAAATCTTCTCAGGGCCCAGTTGCCAGGGCTTTGGTTGTCAGAGAGATGTGAGGGATGAAGCTGTCCCCTCAAGACCTACCCTTATGCCCCTCTTTTCATTGCCTCATGGCATTGTTCTGCCTCATTAACTGACTTCCGCAGTGTCAGCAAAGCAGTCACTGAGAGGCATTGAAATCCATAGCAAAATTTAGGACACCATTACCCAGAATACTTTGGAACACAGACTACCCAAACACAATTCCCTCCATCACCACTCCCATGGCTTCAAAGAAAATGACTGGGACTTGGAGCAATGTGTGGATGGGGTAGAGATAAGTATAAGGAAGTATGAGGATTTTGACCTGCATATTAAGGTAGGGAGGAGGAAGAAAGTGTGTGAAGTCGGAAAAAAAAAAGGGAGACAGAAAGAGTAAAACAGACAGGAAGAGTAGATGTGTATCTGGGCTTCACACCAGCCATTCAGAAAAGTTCTTCATTATTAGCACTGTCAGTTCCCAGCAATTACAAACACCCATGCATATTTCCAAACAAGAAACTCTCTTCATAAATACTAAGCATATGGGATCCAATCAGGAACAGAAAGAACCAATCGCATGGCTTGTTCAGTGAATCATTTCAGCTGTTCAAATTAATTTCCACAGACTATTCATTTAATGTTAGGAGTAACTGACACAAATGTGAAAATCATGGCCTGCTCACAGGCAGTTTGCCAACATGAAAAAGGGCTACAAATCTGTTGGCTATGAGCAGTGCATGCAGCTCTCGGAACGAACCTCATGAGCAGAGATGGGGTATTGGCATCACCATGTGGGTATCAGTAGGAGGCTAAGGGATGTGCAGCCAGAGAGATGGGAGGATGGGGACTGGACTCCATTTCTCTCTTTCAGGCACATAAAACCAAACAGAGTAACCAGCCTTCGATTCCTGAGGTTTCCTGCCTAACCATCCCTGGTTGCATCCTCAAAAACACAGCAGTGCCCTTTGGGCATGGGCATCAATCTCATGGTGGGACAAGAATTTCCCAGCTATGATCCTCCCTTGTGCAGAGACCCAGTATTATTGGGAAACTATGGTGGATGCCAAGCGCCATTTTCTCCCTCCAGGAACAGTAGGGGTGGACCCATGGTGATCGTTAGGACCTGGCACCTCACGCCGGGGTGAGGTTTGGTGGTGGGTCACCTCACTCTCACCTGTGTGTACAGTGGTTCGTAGATGTCCACTCCATTATCCTGGCTGTGGGAGAGTGTCTCAGTGCCCCGTTTCCAGATGAAGCGAGCAGGTGGGTTTGAGTTGACTGTACACCGGAGGAAGACCGTCTTCTCCTGGTAGAAACTGCCCCGGACATCGCTGATGGTCTGGTGGACGGTGAGAATGGGCTCATCTAGATCTGGAAGGGAGGTGGGGAAGGTCCGCAGGGGCGATTAGCAAGCTCAGGCCAGGGCACATACAGTCTGCTGGGCAGACAAAGCTCCGGGAGGGAGGAGAACCTCTCATGGTCAGCTAATGAAAACCACTAAGCTAGAGGCTAACCTGACTTAAAACATGTGTCTGATGGGAGAAACCAGTCTTCTCCAGGTCACTCCACAGCACTCCAGGAGTAGGAAATAAGCTGATTTGCAGCCTTCCGCGGGCAGTAAGAGGAACTGATTGGCTATCTGGCAGGACCCCAGTGATATCATTCTTGCTCCCAGACATCATTCACACTACCCCTGGCCCCATCTCATCCCTCTGTTCTAGCTGACAGGCAAAAGGACTGAAAAGCTAAGGAACTCTCTTCCCACACCCTTATTCCCCTCTGCTCCCACCCTTTACTTCAGTGGCCTCTGTCCCCAAAGGGGGAGGAATTTCTCCTGGGTTTGTAGGGACTAAGCCCTTCTCTTGGACATAGCCAGACAATGAACACCCCTCCCCCCCAAAAAAAACACCCACCATGAGAAACCCTAAAGCTGCAGAGAAAATGGAACAACAGATGGATGGAGATGGAGATTCACCTCACGGACAGGAAAGTCTGATGGAACATCAGTCATGGGATCATGGAGTGTAAGAGCACAGGAACGTCTGGATGCAGCTTCTCCTTTCCAAAGTGTAGCCCCACCCTTTCTTCTCATGCACAGATCCTCTCCCCTCCACCAGTTCTACTCCCCTATTTTAAAAGCACTGTCAACATTTTCCTCTCCTACTCCAAAACTATTCATTAGACCAAGGATGGGGGGAGGGGCAATGTCCAGGGGAGCTGACAGCTTCTGCAGTATGTGGGGAGGGGCGGACTCCGTGTTCCCAAAGGGACAGAGACAGGAGCAGCCCTCCATGCTGCACAGAGCATGGCACCCCCTAGCCCTTAGCAGAGCCACATGGAGCATGTGGTGGCTATTTAAAGGGCCTGGAGCTCTAGTGGCAGGCAGGAGCCTTTGAACCCTTTGAATCACTGGGCCTCATGGCAACTTTCCCCGTTGTCCCACCCAGTTGGCGGGCCTGGCTATGGCTCGAGGGCTGGGTCTGGCCCACAGCTTCTCCCCACCATAGTAGGGTGAACTGGTGTTACGTGGGCCTGGAGCCAGATCAGTGAGGGGTTTGGGTGGGGTTTTTCTTGTTGGGACCCAGGGCAGTGAGTTGTGTTTTGCTTTTCGCTTGTATGTGGTGTCCGACTGATTTTTCTGTGGGTCAGTGGCCCCCAACTGAAAAAAGGTTCCACACCCCTGCATTAGACTGTCTCCTTTCACCCCACCCTCCCAAGCATGTCCCCTCTAAGCTGCGAGCACACAGGTGATTCGTCAGCCCCGCCCAGTCAGAGGCTCAGGGTAGGAGCTGACTGGCTGGGTGGGAGGGTTAATCACCTGTGAAGCTGCGCTGCCCCACAGCTTAGAGGGAACACTGCCCCTGAGTGGTCTTTTGCTTCCTGTGCCCCAAAACCAGGTCAGTCCTCACCCTCTCAGTGATGGGATTAACCTTGCATTTGAGAGGGTCTGGAGAAGAGCTGTGCAGAGCCTGCCATTTGATGAGCTTGCCAGACGTGGCAGGCTGCACCCCTTGCAACCTTCCGCTACAAAGGAGCTTCTCAGACTGGGCCCCTCTATTGCAGAATGCAATGTTTTAAAAGAGCACAGAGTGAGGGGCAGGTGTGAGGGCAGGAAGGGAAGGCAGGTCTCTTTCAGAAAAAGAGTTCCCAGACTCCAGCAGCTGGAGAACCCCCGGACAGCATCACTGTTCAGATGGATTGACATTCAGGACCCTCATTTAAAATTCTACTTGTCTGGAGACATGGAGCCAAGCTGGATCTCTGAATCTGAAATTCCCCCGGCCCCTCTCTCTCGCATACACCCCGCCCCGCCTTTTGAGGGGAGGGTGGCCACTGAGCTCAGTGGAGTGATTCTGGATAACCACCCATCACCAAGATCAGAATCAGGGTCCAACTTGACTATGAATGCTACAGCTGAGGTAACTATCAGGTGAAACTCATGTACACTGCCTTCGTTTGTGCCTCCCTGAGACCCAGTCCCTTCCCCCTTCCCAAGCCCATGGAGGGAAAGGATGTGTTCCCATCACTCTTTGTTCTTACATGTCACTGGATTTGAAGATATTGGCTTAGATGCTTGCAAGTTTGGAAATCTGGCTACAGGGAGAAAGATTAATCACTGTTAATGCACTCTGTGACTAGCATGCCTTTCCCACAGAGATGTGCACATGGTCCAGTCTATTTACATATTTTAATGAGGCATGTGTTCTGAAGACAGCATTTATAATGGAAGCCAAGATTTGTTAGCTTGACAACACCATGGTTCAGAGACGTGAGCAGAACTGTTAGCTGAATGACAGCAAGAGAGAGAAGACAGACAGAGAGACGAGACCCTCCTCTACCTGCAGTGTTCACTGAATTTTATACTACCCTTCCCCCACTCCTCCCTTTCTTTCCTTTATCCATTAGGACACTCCAGGACTTGAGTTACAGCTACCACACCTCTAACCTGGCAAGAGGATCATTGTATTGCAATAAGGGATATTCCTCCAACCCTTAGGGACAGAGCACACCAGCTTTCCAGAACTCCACCCCTGTCCATTTGGGCTCTGCTCATGGTAGTACAGAGTGTAATTTCCTCCTCCTCTTCTTTAAATAGCTACCAGCCCTTAGTCCAGCCCTCCTGAGAGGAGCTACCATAAGAACCAAGGAGACATGCACATCCCTGTTGTGCAGTAACTCTGCTGAATCAGTGGAGTTGCACCAGGGATACGTTTAGCACTTGAATTGCCAACTTGCCCATGGACCCTACTGCATGGACCACTTCGATAACAACATCTCCCTTTTTCCATGGATCTTCCCTTTCCTCAGCCTGGAGCACTTCCAGGCAGCAGCATTCCAGCCTAGTGCAGCGAGACCTAGGAACTTTCTTCTGGCTGTTGCAGCTTCCTAGATCCTCCTCCCCAAATAGCTGGTTGGCAGCCACCGATACTCAGCTGCACACTGCCTTGCTCTCTCTCCAGAAGGAAGATTTATTTCAGTGTAAGCCAAAGGATAGGGAGCTCTGAAAAATCTGGATGTGTAACAGCAACCCACACTCTGAATCCATAAGACATGGCCTCTTTGGGGCTTCAGTCTCCAGGTCAGTTTAGAGCTTCCTTCTCATGGAAAAAAATTGCCTTCAGAACCAGGATGGGCACACGCTAAGCAAGGCAGGGTCAAATACCTGGTGCAACTCCCTGATTTCAAGAGAGTGACATTAAGGATGGATGTGGCCCATAACATGCTTGTGTTTGGCTCTTCCCAAGATGCACTTGATCTTTGAATGAAGAAAGACTGATACTGCACAGCCCTCACCAAACTCAGACAGAAAGTGGCTAGCTTTGTGACTCTGCCTCAAGGCAGATAATTTGTACCTTCCTTGGAACCATCTGCAAGCCCCTAATGGAGCTCTCCATGCAATCTGCAACACATTATACTGAATGTTCCAGAGCCCACCAGGGCTGGCCACTGAGGACACTACCACTAAAGGCAACATTGAGATGATGGGGATTATTTCCAGTTTGGTATTAGAGGGAGGGAAGGCAGGATATGGTTTGAAAATCAGGCTCAGATGGCTAATGGCTGACTCAGCTTGACTACCTGATCTTTCCTTACTGCTCCCTTTTAAATACAGCAAATCCAGAAAGCAGACTTCTCCCAGAAAACAAGCAAACGGAAACGAGATGCACTACCAAGTCCATGTGCAGAGTAGATGTTAGTATCAGAAAGCCCTTGGCCACCCCATTGGCCCCACAGTTCTAAAGGTTAGAGATGTGTGAGGAACAACAGGACTCTACATCACCCTACTTCCAATCTGCACCCCAGATGCCAAGGGGCCTCCTTTTACTTAAAATACTCATCTCAAGAGAGATTCTTCCCACAAGCCCGTTCCTAATGACACAGAGCCCCGACAAGCTGCTATGCCATGGGCAGAGAAAAGCAAGTTCCCTTTCTAAGGCTACATCTATACTGTAACGCTATTTTGGGATACCAGAGTATCCCAAAATATAACAGGCTCGCTATTCCAACATCCCTGTGAACGTCATTCCCTGAGGAGTGAAGGATGTTTTGGAATAGTGGGATATTTTGAAATGTGGTGCTGGTGTAGACAGCACCAAATGACAAAATAAGGTATTTCAAAATAAGTTTGAAATGAGATATGCAATGTGCATAGCTCAAATTGTGTATCTTATTTTGAGCTGTGGTGCAGTGTAGATGTACCCTTAGGGAGCAATTAAATGGCTGGACTATAGACGTGAAAGGGAAAGGTTTGACAAGCCAAGAGCTCTTAGATGGGAATTTCTCAAAGCAAAGGCAACTGGAATCCATGGAGAAACAGTGACCCCATCCACAGCAGCATCAACTGCAGGAAGACTTACAGAGAGCTCCATAGGGCCCTTGGCCCACTGCTCCAGTGAGGTAAAGCAGTGGGGCAAGGTAAGGGAAGAAGAGAGAAACTCAAATCAAAGCAGAAGGCAACAGGCAAGGCTGATTTAAAATAGGAATCTACCCAAGTTGCAATCAGGATCCTGACTCCCCCAAAGGTTAGGGGTGCTTAGATCCCCCTCAGGCCCATTGTTAATGTAAACCTTTAATTAACTATGTGTAACTGGATCCTCACTATTGAGGTCAGCAAGGACCTTGGTTTGAATGCCAGCAGGATTTGAAGGGAGCTGCATTAGTTGCTCACAACCACACCAGGCAGCAGCTTGACAGGAGTCTGTGCTGAAGGGAGCCTGTCTATTTTCCCTTAAGCAGAAAGTGTCTGCCTAGTAAAGTTCCCTCAAAATTATGCTGGGTTCCCAGTTTTGGTCTTTCCCACAACGGGGACCCATCTGACAGCAGCACAAATCCATTCTAACCTTCCTCACATCTGGCCTCAACAGCCCACATATAAATGTTGCCCGCACAAGGGGCAATAAGTAGAATCTAAAAGGTGAGAGGGATTCAGGTAGAGCAGAAAAAGGTGAAAGGAATTCTAGATGAGATCTCTTCCTTTATTGCTTAAAATGAGGGAATTTTTGGCTTCCCTTCTGTGCTCACCCATATTTAGCCATTCGCAATTCAGCCTCTTGGGGTGCATCCCAGAATCCTTTGCTCTGTTCTGACTGTGCTTCAGATGAAGCACAATGGCAATCAGTGCAATGGTTTCTGGGAGGGTCCCAGGCATCTGAGGTGAATCCAGTTTCGAGTGGAGAACAAGTCAATGTCAAAAAGGAGAAAAACAAAAGGGAACAGAAGCCATTCACAAACATCCCTGCCACCCACTGGGGACCCTTGGATGGGGTCAGGGTCCATGGGCTGAGAGGGATTGGTTTAGACCAGGGGTGGGGAATCAGTCAGGGGCCACATACAAGTGAGAAGAAGGAGGGGAAAAAAAACCCTCACTGATGTGCCCCACAACTGAGAAGGAGAAAGACACTCCTCATATTCCCCTCCCACACCAGAGCCTAGGAGAGCCCTGCCTAGTGGATTTTGTGTGCTCCAGCCCTGAGGTGAGGCAGCAGGGGAACAGGTATACCAGCGCAGGCTGCCCAAAGTTACAGGGGGCCCTGAGCCTCAATGGTCGGAACCAGGCAAGCCAGGGGCTCCATCTGGCCCCTGGGCCTAAGGTTGCCCACCCCTGGTTTAGACAAAGTCATCCTGCCCTAAAAGGGTCTATCATCCCTGGGGGAAGGGAATTCTGGAGATACCACTTGGTCCCTAAGGAGGTGAGCATGGTTCTAAGTCAATGTAGAGTCCTGCTGGCCTGGCAGTTATTTACAGACACACAGTAGAACTGTGGGATTCTCTGGGCTGCCACTAAACGACTTACACTGCACATCTACTCGAATGGACTTGATGGCAGGGACCCCAACCCCATTCTCTGCTTTACAGTAATAGCGGCCTCCCTGCAGCCTCTGGATCTTCTCAATCCGAAGGGTCTCGTTAAACACCGACGTCTCCTGGAACTTGTCCGAGGCACTGCCAGCAGTTTTGGTCCACCTCACCTGCAGGGGAATGGGAGAGAGAGGGAGGCAAACACAGCACAAGGCCACACAGATGGACTCAGAGCTGTGGGCACAGCTCTAAAATCTCATATTATCGCAGCACTCGGTTTTGCGCCTCCTCTGAGAAGGAAGCATCCAGCACTCTACCCCCACACAGTCAGCAGCTCTTAGCAGCTGACCCCAAATGTCCCTGCCCAGGAAGCTGCAGCTGCCCATCAGTAACTGCCAACACACTAGTGCCCCGCAGCGACCCCCGAATGTAAAAGCTACTCCCTTCTTACTCTGAGTTCCCCTACTATTAAACTTCCCCTACTAGTCTCAAATGGGCATTGCATTTCCTCACTCCTGGTCCGTTCTATTAGCCAGAAGAGAATCAGAGCTAGGCTGCAAAGACGGGACTTTCCATGCTGATCCTTCGGGGGGTGAGGGGCATAAGTTGGGTAGCCAGCCAAGCATACACGACCAGGAGAGTGAGGTCCTTGCAGGCAGCTAGCTCATGGCTACAAAGCTGTCGTCACCACTTCGCTTGGCATCTTTTCATCATTCTCCAAGCAATGGGGAACACACAACACATACACACTCACAAAACATATAGCAAATCTCCAGAGCCCAAAGACCTAATAGTAACGGGGGACTTCCACTAGCCAGACATCCCTTGGAAAAGTAATACAGCACAATGCTTTTCCAGGAATTCTTTGGAATATATTGGAGACAACTTTTTGTTTCAGAAAGTGAAGGAAGTAACCCAGGGGATAGCCAATTTTGACTTTGATGCACGCTACTGGTGACAAATCTGAAGGTGGAAGGCAATGAGAACAATAGGGATCATGGAATTACTGACTGCATGGTTCTAACAAAAGAAACGAGTGAACAAAACAATTAACTTTAAAAAGGCAAATTTTAACAAAACTGAAAGAACCGGTAGGTGAGGTCCCCTGGGCAGAAAATCTAAAGGCTAAAGGAGTTCAGGAGAGCTGGCAGTTTCTCAAAGAGACAATATTAAAGGCACAAATGCAAACTATTTGGATGCAAAGGAAAGATAAGATGACTAGTAGAGGCCAATATAGCACCATCAGGAGCTCTTTAATTACCTGAAAAATCAAAAAGGAACCCTACTAAAAGTGGAAACATGGGTGAGTTGCTAAGGAGGAGCACAAAAAGACAGTACAAACAGGAAGGGACAAAATCAGAAAAGGTAAGGCTTGTCTACACTTGAAAAACTGCAACTGTGCCACTGTAACAGCAATGCTTTAAAGCTTCAGTGCAGACACTACCTAAGTCTTCCATTGTACTAGTATTGTCTAGACTGGAGTTAATTCGGATTAACTGTGTCACTCAGCAGTGTGGATTTTTCACACCCTCTGAGAGATATAGCTGGGTTATCCTAACTTTTTAATGTAGACTAGACCTCAGGCATAAAATGAGTTACACCTGGCAATGGACATAAAAGGCAGTATGAAGGGGCTCTTTAAATACATTAAGGGTATGTCTAGACTGCATCCCTCTGTTGGCAGAGAGATGCAGATTAGGCAGGTTGACATGGCAAATGAGGCAGGGATTTAACTATCCCGTGCCAAATTTGCATAAAAATGGCTGCCGCATTTTGCCGACTCAGCACTTTGTAGTCTTCTTACTTAGCTAGGAAGAAGACGTAATAACTGATGACATCAAGAAGTCTAATGCCTATTTTGCTTCAGTCCTCACTAATGGTGGCAAGATACTCCATACAATTAATATTAACAACTAGGGGAAGGAACACAAGGCAAATCAGGAAAGAACTGGTTAAGGAATATGAAGATAAGTGAGAAGTATTGTATTCAAGTTAACAGGGCTTGATGAAATCTCCATCCCTAGAGGTTTTTAAGTCCTGGCTTGACAAAGCCTTGGCTGGGATGATTTAGTTGGGGTCGGTCCTGCTTTGGGCAGGGGGCTGGACTTGATGACGTCCTGAGGTCTCTTCCTGCCCTAGGATTCTATGATTCTATGAAATTCATCCAAAGGTATTAAGGAACTTGCAGAAGTAATCTCAGAACTGTTAACAATGATTTTCAAGAACTCATCAGGGATTGAATCCCAGAGAACTGGAGAAGAGCGAAGTACCTATCTTTAAAAAGTGGAAATAAAAGAACCAGGGGAATTATAGACTAGTCAGCTTAATTTCTATACCAAGAAAGTTACTGGAACAAATTGTTAAAACAATCAATCAATTTGCAAGCATCTAGAAGATAACAGGCTTACAAAGAATAGCAATGTCAAGAACAAATCTGTCTGATTTCCTTCTTTGACACGGTTAATAGCCTAGTGGTTGGGGGAAAGCAGGTGACATAATATATCGTGATTTTAGTAATGCTTTTTGCACAGTCCCTCATGATATTCTGATAAGGGAAGTAAGGAAATATTGTCTAGGGCTATGTCTACACTGCAGGTTTTTGCCAGCAGAGAGTATGCTAATGAAGTGCTCATTAGCATTTGTTGTGCTGTCATTTGCATATTCTCTGCTGATGCTTTTTGTGCAAGAGGTTTTTGCGCAAAAACAAGCAGTGTAGACAGGTCCATTTTACACAAAACAACCGTTTTATGCAAGATCCTTATGCCTCAAAAAAGGAGGTACAGTGAAACCGTTGTTATCCGGCACTCTGTTAACCAGAAAACTTTGTTAGCCGGCATTGCCCCCAGTCACAATACTGTCACATCTTCAGGCGCAAAGGCCTGGCTTGGTTTACCATGATTGGCTTAATTTTTTATTTAAGAAGTACTAATCATCTTTAATTCAAAATAGAAATGTTAAACCAACTGCCTCACGCTACGAAACTACCAATATTAAAAATTTGAGTTTTACTATTATTGTCCATTGGTTTTTCCTAGGTTGATGGGACCCTCAGATAACCAGAATTTTTAGATAACTGGAATGCCCTAATCCTCAAGCGTGCCGGATAACACAGGTTTTACTGTGTAAGGATCTGGTGCAAAAGGAGGTTTTTGCACAAAACGGACCCATCTACACTGCTTGTTTTTGTGGAAAAACCTCTTGCGCAAAAAGCATTGGCAGAGAATATGCAAATGACAGCATGACAAATACTAATAAGCACTTCATTAGCATACTCTCTGCCAGCAAAAGCCTGCAGTGTAGACAAAGCCTAGATGAACTAATAGAAGGTAGGCGCATAGCTGGCCGGAAGACCATTCTCAAAAAAAGAGTAGTTATCAATGGTTTGCTGTTAAGCTGGGACAGTGTATCCACAGGGGTCATTTTTGGTCCAAATACTAATTTATATTTTCATTAAATGACCTGAATTATGGAGTGGAGAGTGTGCTTATAAAATTTGAGGATGATACAAAACTGGGAAGGATTACAAGCCCTTTGGAAGACAGGATTAGAATTTAAAATGAGCTTGACAAATTAGAGAATTGGTTGGAATTAAACAAGGTGAAACTAGGATAAGATAAGTATGACGTACTACACCTAGGAAGGAAAAACAAAATAAAATGTACAACTACAAAATGGGGAGTAACTGGCCAGGCAGAAGTACAGTTGAAAAGGGGCTACTGTGGATCACAAACTGAATAAGATGAGTAAATAGCGTGATGCAGGTGAGAAAAAGTGTCAGATGGAAGACATGGGAGGTAATTAGCTCATTCTCCTTAGCACCGGTGGGGCCTCAACTGGAGTACTGTCCTAATCTGTGTACCATACTCTTAATAAATATTGAAAACTTGACCTATGATGAGGAAAGGTTTAAAAAACTGGGCATGCTTCATCTTAGGAAGAGGAGATGACTGACAGGAGACATGATAACAGTCTTCAAACATGTTAAGGGCTGTTAACAGTGATCAATCATTCTCCATATTCACTGAAGATAGGACAAGATGTAACGGGTTTAATCTGCAGCCTGAGAGATTTAGGGTAGATACTAGGAACAGCTTTCTAACGATATGGGTAGTTAAGTGCTGTCATAGGCTTATAGGGAGGTGACTCCCCATCACTGGAAGTTTTTTAAGAACAGGTTAGACACACATCTGTCAAGATAATCTAGGTTTGCTTGGTCCTGCATCAGCACAGCAGGTTGGACTTTACCTCTTCAGAGCCATTCTAGCCTTACATTGTATGAATGGAATGCTGAATCTGTTTCGCTTCGAAGTAAGAGAGGCAGCTACTGCTGTCTCCCTCTCTGGGGTTATTTTTGTGAGTTTCTCTTTTGTTGTAAACTCACTTCAATACAAGGAAGCACCCTTCAGAATTCAAATTATTTGACATTTTTTGCGGGGAGGTTGCATGTTTAGTCTTAGAACACTACCTGCAGATTTGTATGGCATTTCATAATGAACATGCCCTTAGAGAGCCATGCCCTATCTCAATAGCCAGTAGAGAGCTATAGCATAGGCAGCAGCAGTGCAGCCTTCCCACACCTCAACTCAGAGTGAGAAAGAAGGTCAGTGCCCGGGGCCCATTTGTTCCTTGGCCTCTTGGTCTTCTTGCTGGCTGCCTCTGTACTCAGGGTACTTCTACACTGCAGTCAGAGTTGTGATTGCAACACCTGAGTTAGCTTTAACCTAGCTAGCTTGAACAACAGTAAAGGCATAGCTGCATGTACAAACCTGCCCAGGACTCCAGGTATGTACCTGAGTGTCTAGCTTAAGCTGCCATCCATGCCACTGTGGATTCACTGCTTTTTAAGCTTGCTGGGGTACATCTCCACACATCACAGTCACACCTTTGACCAAGGGAGCTGGAACAATTTCTAAAGTGGGGGTGCTGAGAGCCAATGAACCACAAATGCTGGAAACCATTTCAAGCCAGGGGATGTGGCAGACTCGCCAGCCCCTAGCTCTAACACCTATGACTTTGACTGCAATGAAGACATCACCAAAACCCCAGGGCGCGTCTAGATTCACTTTCGAAAGAAGATATGCGAATTCGGTGTGAATTTGCATATCTCCTTCCGATTGCTTTTTCAAAAGAGGTTCTTTTAAAAAAGAAAATAGTCTAGACGCAGTTCTTTCGAGAAAAAAAACCCTTTTTTGAAAGAACCGTGTAAACCTAATTTTTTTAGGAAGAACAGTTCTTTCAAAAAAGGGTTTTTTCCCTCGAAAGAACCGCGTCTAGACTACTTTCTTTTTCGAAAGAACCTCGTTCGAGAAAGCGATCAGAAGAAGATATGCAAATTCGAACCTAATTTGCATATCCTCTTTCCAAAGTCTAGACCTGCCCCCAGTTGCTAAGGTAGCTGCCAGCAGCGTGGATACCTAGACCCAAACTGCTGGGCTGAGAGCTGCCTGACCATTTTGCAGTAGACACAAAGCAGATGGTAAAATGACATTTATTCATTCACTGACAACCCCAGGCTAGACAGAGCTGCTGCCCTGGAGGGGTTGAGTACCTTGGCCCCTGCCCAAAGTCAGCTGACATGGGGCTGAACTGGAGCTATTGCCCTAGAGGTGGCAGGGCTCTACAGCCCATTCCCCTGCTGGGAAGATTTGCTCAGCTAATGGCCATCTGTGACGGATTTATTTAGGCTTGGCGGGCTTATGATGAGATTGTTTTAGGACCCCAAATCTCAGAGTCTCTTGTTTGCACAGCCGCTTCAGTCAGCTCTTTAATCCTTCCCCAGCCTTTTCATTTCAACCTCGTTTAAATATTTGGGCGACGCGGTAAAGCTTTAGTGAGTAACTGGACGAAGGGGGGGGGGGTGGAGATTACACAAAGGCTGAGAAAAGAACTCTGATTTGGAGTAGTGGGGATGGGGGGAGCATGTGTGGGAGTGGGGGGAAGAGAGAGAAGGCACAAAGAGAGAGGAGGGATGTGGCAGATGAGCAAGGAAGAGAAGGAAGAGAGAAGTATGAAGGAGAGAGGGAAGCTTGGGAGAAATGGGATGGGATGTGGGCACAGCTCCATGTAAGCCAGTGTTCTATGTCTAGCAGCTCTCTTTGGGCATACGGGCTAGCTTCCCGCGGGCACACCCGTACTCTGCATGTGCTAGCGTTACACACAAACAGGTCCAGGGACACTGCAGCTTCTTGTGCAGCAGCATTGTGTGCACATCTATGTGCCTTAGTCCTGCCAGGCTCAGAGCATTCATGAGCTGTTCTTCACCTAGCATTCGGCATGCTCCAGGGCAGCATGGGCATCCGTTCTCTCCATGCCTCTGCTCTACCTACCCAAGCTCTGACTGCTGCATGTGTTATTAGTGTGCCCAAGTGCCTCTGCTGGGGGCTCACCCACAGGTCCCCTGATGACACACAAGAGGCTCTTTGAGCCCCCATCTTGGCTCAGTCTCCCACTGTCCTTTTTTAAAAGCTATTTTGTTAGATAATTCTACCGTGAATGCTTTGGGAGAGCTGCTCTATGTCCTTTGCCATTTCCTAGCAGTCAAGGCCCTAGAGACAAGTAGCCCCTTGTCTGTTAGTGCAGGGAAGGGGTGGCTGTAGGGTTGCCAGGTGTCCGGTTTTCTACTGGACAGTCCGGTAGTTGCACTCTCTGCCCAGTAAAAAAATTCAGAAAATACCGGACATGTGCAATGTCCGGTATTTTCTGAATTTCCGTCTGGGCGCCGGATGGAAGCCTGGCAGGGGTGCGAGAGGGAGGCAGGGTCTACACTGCAGTCAGAGGTGTGATTGCAACACCTGTACACACACCTGAGTTAGCTTTAACCTAGCTAGCTTGAACAACAGTAAAGGCATAGCTGCATGTACAAGCCTGCCCAGGATTCCAGGTATGTACCTGAGTGTCTAGCTTAAGCTGCCATCTGTGCCACTGTGGATTCACTGCTTTTTAAGCTTGCTGGGGTACATCTCCACACATCACAGTCACACCTTTGACTAAGAGAGCTGGAACAATTTCTAAAGTGGGGATGCTGAGAGCCAATGAACCACAAATGCTGGAAACCATTTCAAGCCAGGGGATGTGGCAGACTGGCATCACAGAAAGCTTACCTGTGGCCGGGGGTGGCCTGTAACCAGACACTGCAGGACCAGGGTGTCGCCCTCCCGGATAGTGTACACTCGTTCACTGATGTTATCTTCCTTCACAACACATGCCTGCCCAGCATGTATGATCTGGGCCTGAGGTGGAGCTGGGAAAGAGAACAAATTAGAAAAGGTAATGGCCGCAAAGCACAAGTGCAATCCAAGTCCTCACAAGGCTGTTAGAATCATGACACCTCTTCCTGGGAGCCCACAGCCTAAAGCAAAAGCAAGACTGACTTCAGTGCTGGAGAGGCTCTGAAAACTGGGGGATTTCCTCCCTCTGATCCATTGGCATCAGTCTGTATTTAAGTGACTTTAATCGAAGGGAAAGAAACTGGGATTAGCAGCTCTGAAGACTGATGACCAGAGTAGACTGCCCTCTCTGAAAGACAGTGTAAACTAGTGATCAATATGAGCCAGGAACTTCTGAACTCCTTTCCTAGCTCTGAGGAGGAGCGTTCTCTGAGACTGACTGTGTAACCCTAGTCAAATCCGGAGTGCTCTGTGCCTGGAGAAGAAGGATAATGACTGTGATGTACTTTGCTGTGGGGTTATATACAGTCAGAGCCATCCCGTCCATAGGACCTATTGGGGCGGCCGCCCCATGCCCTGCACTTTTGGGGGCCCTGGGGCAGCTGCCCCAACTGTCCTATGGCCAGGAGGGACCTGAGGACTATGGAAGCCTGGCATGGGGTGACAGCAGGGGGTTACCCCCCGCATTCACCACATGGGAGGCAGGAGCCGGAGTGGCCCGAGAGCCTGCCCTGTCCTGCCACCCTCCCAGCCTGCTGTAGCTCAGAGCGTCCTGGCCCCAGGACATAGCTGCTATGGAGAAGCAGGGAGCAGTGGGTCAGGAAAGGGTAGCGGGGTGGAGCAGGCTGGTGGGCCACTCCAGCTCCTGCCATGCATGCAGTGAGTAGGGGGGAACTGTGTGCAGTGTTCCCTGTAAGCTGTGTGCTTGGAGGCCACCCAAGAGAGTTACAAATGCTGCCCAGCTAATTAGCTGAGTGCCCACAGCCAGAAGTATGTTTCTATTTGGTGGTGCACATCTGCATATATCTTGATGCACATAAAATTATTCCACACATGGATGGAAAACACTAGTGGGAACATCTGCGAGTTAATCAGCCAGTGACTCCAAAGGGCACTGGGTGGCTGTATAAGCACTGGATCTGTTAGTACTTATCCCCAGAACAGATACAACCCAAGCCCTGATAGGTGTGAGTCTCCATTCTGTTTCATCAACATGCCTCAGCCCTGTTCTAGAGAAATCCTGCTGTAGCGGGGCTGGGAAAAATACGGCCTGGGGGCCAGATGCAGCCCATGGCCCACCCTGCTGGGATCCTCAGGCATATGTAGCTGCAGCATATGAAGCCCAATCCTCGGCTCCTATTGGCCAGAAACAAATGGCCAATAAGAACTGACCTCTGCCTCTCTCTCAGTTCCTATTGGCTGGAAACAGCCAGCCAATCAGAGCTGAGAAATTGGCCTGAGTGACTGGGGTAGCGCAAGCCTGTTCCCCTACCCTGAGTTGAGAGCCACGTGGAGGGAGCAGCCTGTATTTTCAAGTGGGCTGGGGCTGCAGCAGGCAGGGATCCCAGCCTACCTTGGGGTGCTGCAGCCTGCTGGCCAGCAGACACTTAGATAAACTCCTCCCAGCCAGCGCCTGCCTTTGGCACCCCAACCCCTCCTGCACCCCAACTCCCTCCCCCAGGTCAGCTCCAAACCCTCTGCACCCCCTGCCCCATGTCACAACTCCCTCCCAGTCCCTGTAAACTTTCCTACACCCCTCCCCCAGGTCAGAACCCTCCCCTGCACCCACACTCCCTCCCTGACCCTACACCTCAATCCCCTGACCCAGATCGCAACTGCCAATGTAATTCAATACAGGCACACTTTAAGAGAGAAATGAACAAAGGGCTTAAAGCAAATAGTTTTATAAAACTTGACAAACCGAGCACAGAGTTTGCAAGAAAACCCCATTACACAGGCAGAATTAAAAACTGGCTTTCACACAAAGTTTACCGAGTCCCTGAGGCACAGGGACATTTTGAGTAAGCCATGGATCCTGTAACCATGGAGCCTCCAGGGAGGAAAAATCAAAATATTGTTAGCCAGTGTGAAATTAAAGCCCTGTTTTGTGTCGTTCTTAACAGTCAACCCTGTATTCACTGTCAGGCTGGGCATGGATTGTGCAAAAGTGGATTTGAAGTGGTGTTCATTCAGACCAGTGCCCTGATCCTCAGTTGGTGTAAGCTGGGACAGCCTCACTGCCTTTAGCAGAACAACACTAATGTGTAACAGCAGAGGCCCTCACCTCCAGCTAAGAAGGAAGGTCATATTTCCATAACTGGTTACCCTGTTCTGACAGGTGACAATTTTTAAAACACATTGAAGACGCAGGCTCCAATGCAGCACAAGGTCTGCATGCCAGGTGATCACGCCTCCTCGCCCCCATCGACTTCTCTCTCTTTCTAGTTCAATGGCAATTTATTGGCAGGATCATTGGATAAGTATTGTCCAAACAACTGTGCGCTAATAGAATCAATGCATTTATTGGAATAACATTACAGCAACGGTCTGGACCCTCATCTTTGCAGTTCTGTCCCTCTTCTGCCTAGAGCATCTGGTGAGATCTCCTGGGATGGCTCTCACAAGAGTCTTATTAAAACCGAACACACTGGAACCGGGGCATGAAGCTACAGTGATATGCTTGAACAGATGAGAGTGCCACTTGTAAAAGGATGGGGATTATTATTTGCTAACTGTGTCGGGACAGGGGGGAAAAGTGGAAGCACTTAAAGAAACAGAAAGGGTCGATATTAAGGCTGTCAAGCGATTAAAAAAATTAATCACAATTAATTGCGTGATTAATCATATGCACTGTGCCTTTGAAGCGCTGCTCCCTGCACTTCAAAGGGACAGCATATATGGAGCCGGGGATCAGCTGGGCACTCCAGCTGATCCCCAGCTCCATGTTGTGCTGCTTCTTCGAAGTGCAGGTCTGGAGCTTCAAAGGGGCAGTGCATTAGGAACCGGGGATCAGCTGGAGTCCCCAGCTGACCCTGGCCCGGTGCAGGGCTGCCCCTTGGAAAGGACACCCCAGTGTTTCCAAGGGGCAGTGCTGTGGAAGCCCAGGGTCAGCCGGAATCCCCAGCTGACCCTGGCTTCATACCTCACTACTCCTTGGAAATGCCGCCCTGGCATTTCCAACGGGCAGAACCACGGGAGCCCAGGGTCAGCTGGAACACTCCAGCTGATCCCCGGTTCCTAATGCACTGCCCCTTTGAAGCTCCAGACCTGCACTTCAAAGAAGCAGCACAACATGGAGCTAGGGATCAGCTGGAGTGCACAGCTGATCCCCGGCTCTGTATGCATTGTCCCTTTGAAGTGTGGGGAGCAGCACTTCAAAGGGGCAGCACTGCACAGAGCCCGGGGTCAGCACTGCACAGAGCCCGGGGTCAGCTGGAAACTCCAGCTGATCCCAAGCTCCTAATGCACTGCCCCTCTGGAGTGGCACTTCAAAGAGGCAGTGCAGCCTTCAATTAACACATTCAAAAATGAATGCATTAATCCTTCTCTGCGTTAATTGCAGGTGTTAACACACATCAGTTGACAGCCCTAGTTGATATCTGTGAAGGTAAGCTAGCACTATGGCTAGTGAGGGGGCTAGAAAAAGTGGTGAAATCTTCTCACACTCTGCCCTGACCCGAGTCCCTTGCTCTGCTATTCCAGTCCTGGGCCTGTCCCCTACTCCAGACCTGTCAGGGCACCTCAATGACCCTGCCTCTTGCAGCACTGATTAGCAGTCATGCTGATTGTGCCCAATTCTGGATTCGAGAGGAATTTCTACTGCTGATTAAAATAGAGACATCTGTTTCCCCCATCTCATCCTGAGTTCTCCCCTTCAAGCTGCGCTGCTGTCTGCATTCCAACAGATCCGTCCTGTCTCAGAGCTCTTCAGCTTGCGCAAACAGCTCAGCAGCTGTCTCCTTAGCTTAAATGTTTCCTTAAATTCCTCTGTGCGCTCTTAGTGTACCTATGGATGTTAAATGTCGATTAACTGACTAATCGAATAGTTGATGCAATTTGCATCGACTATTCAATTAGTTGATAAGGGTGCTTCTGCTTTTTGAAGTGTGGCAAGGCAAATGCACTGCAGGGAGCATGGGACCAGCGGGGGACTCAAGCAGTCCCCTACTGCCCCCGTGCTCCCTGCGGTATATCAAAGCGGCAGCGCCGCATGGAACCCAGGGTCAGCTCCTCAGCTGACCCCAGCTCCATGCAGCACTGCCACTTTGAAACGTCACAGGGAGCCCGGCAACAGCCTCCATGCAGCATTTCAAAGCAGCAGTGCTGCATGGAGTCCCGCGGGGGTCAGCTGGGCCCCCCCGGAGCCTGAGCTCCACGCAGCACTGTCGCTTTGAAACGCTGCATGCAGCTTGGGTTTCCAGCTGGCCCCATGCATTTCAAAGGGGCAGTGCCCCATGGAGCCCCGAGTCTGGCCCCAGGCTTTCCATGGTGCTCCTGCTTTGAAGTACCCCCTTCCTCTTCCCTCCCTCCCCACTTGCTGCCTCTTTCTGATAGAGGCAGCAAGTAGGAGGGAAGGGTGAAGCGACTAGTTATCTAGCCTGTCTACTAGTCCTTCACATTCCTGGTGCACACTCAGTCTAGCTCACCTTAGATCTTCTAATTTCTGTGGCTGTCCCTCTGGTTAATGCCCCACCCCACTGTAGTCTCTGCTTTCTTTGCTCCTCTCCTCTAAGCATGTCCTGCCTCCCAGCCCTGTCTCCAAGACAGTCTCTATTGGCTCAGGGGTAATTTTATCTGCACAGATATACTGGTATAACTCCCCATGTAGACATACCTATTCCAGAATAAGAATGCTTTTTTCAGTTTAGTTTATGGTGCTCTGGAGGTGGTATAAACTAAATGAGAAAGAGGCTTTCATATGCTAGAACAGAGTGCCCACAGGGGAGTGAGTCGAATAATTATACAGGTACATTTCCACATGTAAACGGTCCCTAAGACATGTTCCCTCTCCTCTCTCGCTCTACTGCTCCTCACATATTTCTCTAGTTCAGTGGATTTCCAAAGCACTCGGAAG